CAATAGGTTTGGAGGTAAACGAATCTAAGTCCAAAACTATGGTGTTTTCTCGGACCTCTCAAGATCACCCTCAATTGGACATTGTTGTTAATAACACCACTTTACATAATGTACAAAAGTACTGTTACCTGGGCAGGGAAATAAACAAGAAAAGAAAAGAAAAGAAAGGCAGGGAAATGAGACACGAAGAATACGAACAGCTTCAGCTAATACTTCAAGGTAAAATCGAGAGAAAGCGCGGCATAGGAAGGAAGAAGAAATCGTGTCTTCGAAATATACGAGATTGGACAAATATTTCAAACGGGAATACTTTAATACATCGAGCCCAACATAGGGAACATTTTGCCATAGTGGTCGCCAACCTCAACGGAGACGGCACCTAGGAGGTGGAGGAAATTGTTTTCTCCTGCGACCAACGTAAATATGTTTTCGTTTGTTTTATTGATTATGTAACAAAAAAAGCTTATATTAACCTGTACTGGTGACAAAAAGCAGTCGTTATAAAAGGCATCCGGATAGGGAAATTAGCTGCAGAATTTTAATTAGTTTGAATCGGCCCGTACAATATTCCAGAAGATGAGATCACTATTTTGTAACGATAGTCTGAACTTAAAGCTGAGACAAATAACGATTAAATGTTACATCTTTTCTGTGCTGTTATACGGAGCTAATCATAGACGAATGCTAAGTATATGCAAAGAAATGAAGCAGTCTTAAACAGGGAAAATGCAGTTCGTGAACTTTTGGCAACAGTTAAAAAATGTCGAAAGCTGCCACACCTAGGCCATGTTCTTAGAGGAAATCGTTACCGGATTCTACCACTGATAAGGAAGGACAAAATAGAGGGCTGCAGGGGCGTAGGAAGAAAACAAAGCTCCTCGTTAAGTTAGGTTAGGTAACATCCGGTAATGGACGGGCATACATAGCGCCGAACATTTGTTTAGAGGGGCTAAAAGCAGGTATCAACTCGCCAACTCGCCTGTAATGGCCAACGTCAGGGGAACCTGACAAAGCACTGTAAGAAGAAGAAACACTATGGACCGGAAATGCCTAAGAGCATCTCTGCTGTGTACGTGTGATCAAGCGCGATCAACTGTTCGCTTGACATGCTTCACCGATATTGTGGATGAAAAACGTAAGGGATTGGGCAAGAACAAACACTTTTCAGAACAGCATAGAGTCGAAAATAATCCGCTGTGGTTATCGCCAATCTTCGTTGGGAAGAGGCACTTGAAGAAGAAGACGACCCTTTCGAAATGTTCTTTATCAGGTGCTCATATGTGTACGCTATTTTGTAATATTTTTGAATAAAAGGACTTCATTAAAACAAAATCTTTCGCAAGTCTATAGACATCTTGTGTCTACGCTCGCTATACTATATATGATCTGCAAGATAAGTTTATCATCATGGCAAACAATATGATAAACAACATGTCATGGCGTACAATATAGTCTGTAATACGAGTATAAGTATCAGGGCAAGCAATGATTGACCCGTTTAGCTGCCTTTGGAAAAATAAGTAAGTGATAATTAACGGCTTATATTTAACACCATAATATGATATAATAATAATAGCTCCCGTATATAGCGTTTGATGCCTTGGGAGTAGCAAGGCACAGCTTGCCATGCTAGAGCCGTTCGGTATACAAGGAAGGTAATGTGGCTAGCACTACGCTTCAACCGCCTATTATTACCTCAGGATCCCAAGTACTCATTTAAGGCTGAGTCGGCCTAGGTACCCAAACTATTTTTATTTTATAAAAACATAAAAATATATATACACCATAATATAATGTACTAAATATTTTACCTCCAATCCTATATTTCCTCATAAAATACTCCTTTTAACGATGTCACCAAACTACATAAAATTTTCTACTTTAATAAATAAAAATATATACGATTTGTTCTTATTCTGATATTAAGAGCCCTATCACAAAGTCTATAAAATTTGTATTTATTATATTTAATATCTGGATATACCTCTAATTTATATTATCGAGTACTTACACTGAAATCCTTAAAACTGGTATTTATACCATGATGACCGATGTAATTAATTTCAAAATTCAGCATGTTTTTTAACCCTCGAGCGGGCCCGTCCGGAATTTTGTGCCGTAATTTTAGTTAACCGTATGTGCCGTATTTTATTTAACCAAACTGTTATCAAATGATTTAATTATTTTGATTTATTTGGTGTAATTTTAAATTTTTAATTCATTTTTTCCATATTTTATAATAATCTGTCAATCGATATTTTATAATAATGCTTATTTAGGAATATTTGACACCCTGGGTCGTAGTAGTTGCGTATCCAGTTTTTGGTTCTTGTATCCCGTTTTTGGTTCAGTAGCAATTCTGTCGTAAACCTGGCAACTACAGAAGCTTTGGTTTACTACGTACCGCTACGCGCCCAGTTATGTAAGTAAAATAGTTATCATATGATTTAATTATTTTGCTTTATTGGGTGTAATTTTAAATTGTTAATTAATTTTTTCGATATTTTATAATAATCTGTTAAATATATGTTATACTGTAATAATGACGGAGAGGGTCAGTATATTATCCCCCTTCCCAGAGATTTAAAAGGTACTAGTTAGAGACAATAAGAAGCGAGTTGGTCCCTGCCATGTATGTGAAGTTCATAAAACTACTAGTTTTTACAACTAAGGCAACAAATTTATTTGCAAAAACTACAGTGATAGACTAATCAATCAATTAATTAATTCTATAGGTAGATAATCTACCTATAGAAGACGACAAAGGGTGGCTGCAACGACGTCCCGTAATCCTGCAGTTAAAAGAAAACAATGGGTGTTTATATATGAAAACCAACTGTCATGTTTTAACAGCAGGTTGGCGGGACGTCGTTGCAGCCACCCTAAAGGAATTTAGATGACAATTTCATCTTCTTCCAGTGTTTTAAAATATTTTATTTAATATTTAAAAGGTTCTGTTAGGTTTATTTTATTATAATATGTTCGATATGATTTAGTTTTTGTGAGTTGGCAAAGCAATTTTTTTCCTTTCCGTTCTGTTCCTTTTTTTATAATACGTTTAATATTTTTTATGTATTAATAAAGTAAATACCTATGTATTAAAAATGTTGCTTGTTACTGTTTTGCATGCTAAATTTTACAATAAAAGATTTTAAATTACAGAATATTTTTTTTATTACTGCTACTTACCTTGCAATGTCCTAGAGTCCTTAGCAAAGACATCTAAATATAGGTAGACAGAACACTCCATTCATAAAACTCAATTTTTTAGAATCATACATGGTTTGGCACTTTTATGAGAGTTAAAAAGAGATAGGTACATAAATATGACAACACGGTTGAGTTTCGTCTGTCTTTCTGTCATTTCACTCCATCAGTGGCGTGACGGTGGTGTGGTGTTTTTTTTATCAAAAATTTTAAAATAATTATTTTGTGTATTTTAATTTAAATTTTAATTTGTAATATACGTAGTAATATCGATAATATACAATGTAGGGGCGTTTGCACCAAGTTTTTTTAAGCAAAACTTAACATTATGTTCAGCTTATTTTCTTGCACTATGCTTTAATCTAACTTGAATTTACATTTAAATTAAGCGGTCAAATTTCCAGGCTAGTGGCCACTTAACCTATCTTAGACACAAAAAAATTGTTTTACGAGGAAGAATTATTGTTATTCCTTTGAGAAAGCTAAAAAGTGTATTATGATACCTCTACGTAAGTTCGATGATTACTTTTGATATCCTAGACGTCGATCAGTAGGTATATTCATTGAAAATGGATTTCCTCAAGAATGGATGTAAGGAAAAATCATATTGCCAAGAAATGAACCTCCTTAAGTTTTTAGGACAGAGACTTTTAAACGACACTGTAATATATATCATTATTAATTACCTCGGTTTAATTGAACAAAATCTAGAATATCAAAATGAGAGGTAAGTTGGAATGCTAGTAAATCTAATGTAAGATAAATTAATTATATTTATACTTTGAACCATTGTTCTTTACTATTTCCAGAAACAACAGCATAACTGCCTTAAATCAACAACAATTTTATAGTATATTTGGGTTTCCTGGGATTATAGGGATAGTTGATGGAACACAATGTAAGAAAACATTCACCTGGTAAGTACCTATATATTTTCTTCAATATTTATCAGCACAAGGTTTCTTATACTTTACAGGGGGTATTGATGGAGAGGTATTTAGAAATAGAAAAGCATTATTTTCCCCAACATTTAAATTACTGGAAATGCTAGTCTTAAAACTATAGACTTGATTCTTGTTGGCATGGGTCTGTGCATAAAGCCACATTTTGGACATTAAGGACCCGCATGGAGACTGGTGACTTTTCAAATTAAATCCTGCTTGGTTAGTGGTCCGTATATTTACTTACTGTTAGATCATTTATATAAAATATATTCCTTAAATATTTGAGTAGGTATTCAATTTAGAAATATATTACGAATAAGATGAATTGAAAGAAATTTTTTAAAATTAAATGTGATAATATTCAAAGGGTTCATATACTCTATTAAATTATTTTATTATCTGTTATAAGGTGAGATTGCATATGCATTGAGGGGATATATGCAGAAATAGAGCTGAAGAAATGTTTCAGAATTATCGTTATATGGAAACGCCACTTTCCAATATGTGTTTTATGGTATAAGACCAAAATTACAAAACACAATGTCAGTTATTGTTGCACAACAGTGAGTTAAGAAAAATATTATCTGTTTAATTATAGAACAAAATTTAAAAAATTTAATGTATGTACTTAAATTTTTAGATTTTGTTGTTTCAATGTGCTACACAATACAGCCAGAATGATGCCTGAACAAGAGCTGCCGCCGTTAGATGAAATAAATATGGACCAAATTAATAAGAAGAGAAATAATAAATTATTTTGAAAGATTAGGGCAATATTTTTTCTTAACTTATTCTAAACATGTTTTGATGTTGTTATTAAATCTCTTGAGTATTAATTTCTATAAAATATCATTATTAAATGTCTTTTATTCAGAAATAACATACATTACATTTTTTACATTACAATATAAACACTAATTAAAATTATTAAGTAAGTTCTCTTTGAGAACTTTACTGTTCTTTTTTTATTTCAATGTCTAACAACCCTTTTTTTCTTTAGCTTATGTTCTTCTCTGTTTTGAATACTACTACTTTGAATTTTGCCCATCTCCATATTTCAAAAGAACAGCCTTTTGTCTAGTAAATTAATATCTTCCCTTTTCTTCTGTTTCTTTGTAACTATCAGTTTTGTTTTGAGACTGAAAAAATATTTAAATATATTGAATTGTCTTAAAAGTAATAAAAAATTCAAAAACACAATGAAAGGTTAGTACTTACAATACCAGTACTCCTATTAGTTTTAGACAATCTATCACCATCATGTTTTTTAATCCCACAATGCTCTTCTCATTTTTACATTGATTGAATATATTATTATCTTCCGTTTTTGCTTCTTGTATACGTGGACCTCCACCAGTTAGTCAAAATATATTTTAATAATTGATTTTCTTTTACATAGTATTTATACATACGTTGTAAGCTTTCCATACAAATTAGAAAGCCCATAAATCCCGTTTTTCTTTGTGACTATGGTTGACCTTTCTTTTAAAGTAAGTCCAATAATATACAATTTAATTATTTCAAAATTATTAAAAAGTATGTTGTTCTTATATTTTTGATAATTTTTTATATGAATATTTTGTAAATCCATTCTGAGAGTTAAAAATATCAAAAATATTGTTGAAAACTAAATGGAATTTAGAGGCCTCCTAAGAAAACTCTGGGCCAGTTTATGTATCCTTTATAAATTCTATGTTTTCGGCGAATAAAATGACAATGTTAAAGCAAAGGATAGTAGCAGAAGATTGGATTTTTGTGTGGCAGGTCCTTTTAACATTCTTTCAAAAATACTTTGTACTGGTTCAGCTAAGGAAGCCTAAAAAAACATATATTATCTCTATTAATGTTATATCTCTATAATATTATTTATTAGTCTTTTTTAGACACGTCCAAATTCACTAAAGGGTTTTAAAATTTAGACCTGGCCTTGTCATGGAAATTAGAACCTTCCATTAATCGTATTTATGCCACTGTCATATGGATTAGTGTATCATTCACAAAATTAGACCAGAACTAAATTTAAAACTTGTTAATGAATCTTGGGGACAGATTTTGACATAATGGCTGTAGGACTAAATTATTAAATGGCTGATAACTTTACATTATTATAGTTCCCCTCCGCCCGCCACTCAAATATATACACAAAATAGTGTGTCCAAGATAATAATTACAAGCACTGGGATCTCAGAAACAGTAAGAGATACAGCTTCAATTATTAGAAATTGCTTTTAGCGATTTTTACTTGATTTTTATATTTTTTTGGATCCTCACATATAACCTTTGACTTATAACCATTATGTTTTTAAAATGTTACCCTGCATACCTATATTCATACCTGAATGGTCAATTCAGTTGATTCACTTATCAAATATTTTTCTTTTAAGTAATCAATTAACTGATGCATTGATATTATTTTATTTTTCAATCTTCTAAGACCTATTTGTAAAGTATGTATTTTTCATTTTCTTTGTTTCCAAATTTTTACAAGACTTAAATTTCTACATAATATCATTATAATGCCTCATTAACATACTTCTTTCTGAAATTAAAATAACTTATGCACAATTTTACTTAAGATACAGGGTGGCGCCTCTTAAATGCTACCAAGGAGAAAGAGTTTGTATTGAAATTAAATTTTGGGAGTATATGTAGGTTAATTTAGAGCATTTAAACATATAAATGTGATAAAATATGTGTTTTTTTAAAATATGGAGTTCTACAGGGTGTCGCCAAAAAAGTTACACAACAAAGTTTTGTTTTTTGGAATGGGACACCTTATATATTATTTGATTTTCGGATTCTATGAGAAAAATAAAGGTGAATTTCATTATTGGACTAAAATGTAATTTTATTCCCTTTTATTTGAAATGAACACAGCAAGTTCCCTTTTATTTGAACACCCAGAATACTATTCCGATCTTTTAATTGCAGTGTGCATTCATCAATTAATAGAATGCTTAAGGTCAAATTTTAATTTGGTTAAATATACAATGAGTAAATTTCCATCTAGGTAGCTGTTATTGAAATTTAAAGTTTATTCATTATTTTCACCAAATGTGAAATATGACAAGCCTTACATTTTAGACATATGCTTCTTTAACAAAACTCACTTTTATTTCTTTCCTAGAATCCGAAAATCAATTAATATATAGGTGTTCCATTACAAAAAAAAACTTTGATGCATAACTTTGGGGACACCGCGCAGAACTCTTGATATTTCTATAAAATGCTTTCCATTATCCTACATATGCTCCCAAAATTACATTAACGATAAAAACCACCGTTCTCTTTGGAGCCTCCGCGTCGTAGGAGAGGCACCACCTTGTATATAATGTTGAGGTAATTTTTACCTTTTTCTGATACTTTGACGACTTTCTTGAGATAATAAATATCCAACTATTGGGAGATCAGAAGATGAGGATTGTCTTACTATGTTGTAAACAAACAAAAAACATTAATAATTAATTTTTCAATAAAACCTATTTTCGTTTTTAATTTTTTCCTAAATACTAATAATTTCCTTCTATAGTATTAAATTTATCATTAAGCGAGAATGTTTTCTAGTGCAAAATAAAAGCTCACTCATAGAAAATATATGTAAACAAAAACCAACACTATGGCAAAAATTATGTAGTTTATGATCTTATACTGTGGAAGATAATTCCAAATAACATATCCTTGACAAAACATATAAAATAAAAGATAGCTATTCTAATTATACAGGGTTTCTGGATATTCGACCGATAAAGCTTGACAATGAGAAGCAACAAGTCTCGTATTTTTATAAAAATTAAGATAGGGAAGTAAACCCATAAAGTGCTTAATTAATAAGATACAAAGTGATATTAGTAATGTTATATTACGTTATATTGTTCTGTTAGATATTATAACAGCTTCCTTGAAATCTATTACTGCTAATGACATAAACAAAGTGTCCCCTTTTCTGCAAGAAAGAGAGATGTCAATTTTTAAATAATTAAGACGGCAAACAGAAGCAGAAGAAATGTTATTTTGAAAAAGCTCAATGTGTCAAAGTATCCCGTCTACTATAGTTACGTCAAAAGTATGATTAAGAATGTATTTAGATTTTTACCGCAAAAATTGTGTCTACGAAATTTCGCGTCTCTATTTTTTAAAGAAATACCTGGATATGCAAAATTAAACTTACTATTGTGACACCCTGTATGTTAAAAAGTAAATACTTCGCAAGAGGGTGTACACCTGTATTCAATAAGGCACAGTACACTACTTGACAATAATAGTTATAATGAGAGTATTTCATTTAAAATATATTACATACTAGTTGAAGCCTGGCGCATCCGCCACGACATCAGGAAAAAAAAATACTTTTTATTTTTTTTTAATTAAATGAAAAACAAAAAATCCGGCGATGACAGTTTTTAGAAGAGCCAATTAGCTATCTTTTAGTAAAAAAAGCAACTTTCTAGAGCAAGTCGTTACTTCAGTATTAGCATTTTATATTATTATATATATTACTTTGTTATGCATACAGCTATATTCCCATTCTGTTAAAAATACAAGAGCTTTTAAGCCTTGTCAGTCAAACATCCAGAATACACTTACAAAGAGCACATACTGGTTAATTCCAACTTCTTTTTCCAATGCCGTTTCTGTTGTTTTGAGGGAAGGGCTTCTTGAGAAGGGCTAGTTTATCTTGTATGACTTTAGGCAAAATCCTGTAAATTTTAATTAATTATCAATATTAAAGTACATGTATAAAATGTATCAATGTTCTTACAAATTTGAGGGGCCAGCCAAACTGCCAATCGCGGGACTAGGTAGGGACCTTCTCTAGTCCCTCAGCTGGTCTGGAGGTTCATTTACCTAAAACATTTCTTGGGTGGCGGTACAAACTAGAAGAAAACCTAGAGTAAATACTAATATTAGTATAATACTTATTTATTAACTGTTAAAATGTATTTGACTGCTTTTTACCTGTATGATAAAGCCCCAGCAAAAATGGTACTATCTATTTGAGGCTCAGAATTTGGTCTTATTTGCCTTCGATCAGTTAATTCGGCATCATAATATTGCTCTTATCAAAATCATCAGAACAAATTTGGACACACATTAGTTTGATTTTTCAAATTCAAGAGTGAAATCGATCATTGTCTAAGCTCAGTAATTATAGGAACGCTACAAAAGTACTATTGGTTACATATGCAACACATACATATTAAGTATTATAAATCTATTTAATAATATATGTAAAATAATAAAAATATGCGGTAAAAAAAAGGAAAAATTAACCTAAAGGAAAAATTTTCCAAGGTTTATTTTCCTCTATTTAAAACACCAGCTATGTACTCGTCTGTGAATTGTGTGCGTGTGTATGGGTGTATAGGTAAGTGTGGGTAAAAGTGTAAAGGGTTCCAAAACTAAAAAAAAAAATATCATAAATGAAAGAGTAAAGAATTATCATAAGTAAGGCTTATCATTATTATTCAAAACAGTGCATATTTTTTAAGTACTGAAGCATCATTATAATTTTATTTATTTTATTAACTTTTTTAATTTGAATTTTGAATACCTATATCTAAACCTTTCCTATTATATAATTACTTATAGAATTTTTTATAATAAATAAATAATAGATCAATCATGTGTTACGGTTAATATCTAAAACCTGCTAATGTTAACTAGAGTTCAATAATATTAATATTTAGATTGCAAAAACAGTTTTCTTTCAACATTGGGGGAGAAATGTGGAAATTATCTAGCCAAAGTCTGAAGTAATTATAAAAATTAAATGTCTTTAATTGAACATTAGCTAACTTTGTCATACTAATTAAGCATACATATAGGTAGATGTTCAAATCGTGTTCAAATTTCAGGTATTAACTACCTATAACAGCAACAGCTGTTTTATTTCAGCAGATATTAGCCATAACATACACAATATTTAAGATATTTATAGCGGTTTCGAATGTTAGTTGGTACTTAGATATAATATAAAAAAGGTTTTTAAATGTTAAGTTGAGAACAGCCAGTATTACCTCTGAGCATTTTTTACCACCAACGGTAACAGCGAAATGGACAAATACTTAAAATAATTGACTTAAAACGTAGATCGGTTTTGCCAAGGTTTTGCCTGAGGTCTAACTGAGGATAAGTCTAATTTCACAATCAAAAACGACAGCAAATAAGAAAATATACGTATTTTTGTAATAATCTACTTATAACTAAAAGTACTTAGATACGCTACTGTAAAGGCATTGCTAAAGGTAAAAAAATGTAATAACACTTACCGTCCAAATATCAATCAGGAGTTAGAATAGTCCACCTTTAACAAACTATGCACTGGTGAACCATTGTAGATAGTTAAAAAACTACTTTAAATAGTTTTCTTTGCAATAAACACTAATAATTATTCGAAAGTTGTCCGAAATCCACAAACACTTCCAACGGTCGCAGAAAACTCGCAACAATGCTCCGTTGGACAAAAGTTGAATGAATACGTCAAATGTCAGCGTAATTTCTACAGATTCCGACAATTCGTAGTAAAAATTAATCCGTAGCGATGCCGGATTGTCTTAGAAATTTCCCTAATATATTTTAATCGTAATTTTAATATAATTTAATTAGAAAACTAATAATAATTTCAAAGGTATAATTCTAGTATAATTAATGTATTATAATTAAAATTATATATCTACACAAATATTTAGTCTAATGACCTTGTAATGACAATAGCATTTAGAACTCAAACCGTAATCAGCCGAAATCTACCACCGGTCGCTTAAAATTGGCATCATCGATTTTTGTGCAACACGGTTCGTGATCGCGGTAAAATGTAAATTGTTTCGTCTCCTTTTATTTAGATGTCTTTGGTCCTTAGAGTAAGTTTTTTTATGTATTAATAATATAAATACTTATGTATTAAAAATGTTGCTTGTTACTGTTTAGCATGCTAAATTTTCCAATAAAATATTTTAAATTACAGAATACTTTTTTTATTACTGCTACTTACCTTGCAATGTCCTAAAGTTGTCCTCTATCCAATTGTTTTGGCCAAGTGAAGAGATGACTTGCTACACAAAATTGTCAAAACTCCCTATATCAATCTGTTTAATCCCATATTTCTTAGAAGTACTATTAAATGTAAGTTCATTTAACATAATTAAAATAATTGTGCCATCTTTGTGTCATGTGTTCACTAAAGAGTGCTTTGGGTCTAATTATTTCATGTTGAAACATTTTTAACGTTTAGTTTAAAATTTCGTCCTCCACGCAACATGATTTAAACTTTTTTGAAAGACAATTAAATAAACACTGTAACCACGGGGGTGTCACTTGTATGGGAAAACAGGCAACAGTCAAATTTAAACGTGCCAGGACCAACGACAAAGAAAGCAACATCTGCCAGACATTGGCTTTCTTTGTCACTCACATTGCTTAAATCATGATACCGCGGCCATTTTGCCAACAAAGAAGCTGGCCGGGCTGTCCTGGCAAGTGATTTAAAACAATTTTGCTTTTTTACAGTATTAAATTACCATTTGGATGTATTTAATGCGATTATTCAGTTAACTGGTAAGTCAAGAATTACACACAAATACTTTATTCATAAATACAACTAAGATGTAAACGTATTTTTGTATTTTTAGATTTCAACTTTTGCAAAGACCCGCCGATAGAACTTGCCTGGCAGCGTACCTGTTTAACTAAACGTATTATTTCCTGGTAATAATATCAAAACACGTAAGTACCTCTATAATTTATGATGAAAAATTATTTTGATTATGTTTTATATTATTTAAATACTTTCTAACCTCAAATAATAGTAAGATCCTTGTTTATATCGCACAGCCCCACAGTGCGGCCAATTCGCGAAAACGTGGCCTTAATTCAGACGCGCTGTTTTAGAATCAGATTTCCACCAAAATTCATTTTAATATGGTCGTAGATTACAATAAAATAAAAAACACAGAATAAACAAAAGATTGCGCAATGTTGCTATTTATTATGGCATTAATAAAAAAATACAATTAAAATTAAAACTACAATTATTTCTACTCGTCAGAAGACAAACTTTCTTCAGTGCTGGTTGCTTCTAAATCACTTTCCATATTACTATCATCGCTGTTCGCTCTAATAGATCACTTTTGAATTTTCTGGAAGTTTTAATCGTAACATCAGGGGCCTCGATTAATTCTAAAACTTCATTTGGATATCGCCTAATTTTTTTCCTTGGGAGTTGTCTGATGCTGGATATAACTGGATCTGAAGTTACTAATAATAAATTTAAAATATCTTTTATTTTTTTTTTTTTTTTTTTTTTTTAATATTTTTTTTTAGAAGAATTTTTTGAAGTCTTTATTTCTGGCTTCCTGCGCTTCTTCGGATAATTGGCCGATGGGCAAGAGAGCTGAAGAGATAACTTCAGGGCCGTGAATTAAAACTTTGTGCACAGTTGGGGGCATTATATACCAAGGGTATTGGTTCACAAAATGTTTAGCTGTATTTAAAGCGAAACTTCTAAATTTTTCAAGATTGATGTCATATCCACTTGAAATTGTAATTAATATAGTGTGGAATCGCTTGATTAAAGTGACATCTACTTCGGTTATTTCTGAAGAAACTTCCGCATTCTCAAAAAATCTTCTTGCGGTATTGCCGTCATTGGAACACCCAAACCCCGGCTTTGGTTTATCTACAATCAAACCTAACTTTTCTCTAAAAAGATTTTGTATCCGTTTTTTATTGGTTTCAACTAGAGCGTTGTCCGTTCCTCGTGCCTGCCATTTCTTTATGGGCATTCTATATCCTATGTGCAAAATACATTCGAAAAAACGTATCCAGCTGTGCAATGTCGAGATTCTAAATTGTAAAATTTGAATCATTTGAGGTCTCTCGTGATAAAACAATCACTGTTGGCTAAACTGCTTCGATGTTGCTCCACATATAAAACACTTTTGGGTGGATTTAGTATCTGTTAGTGCATTGCAGATTTTCCCGTCCACCATGGAAAAAATAAGGATATGGCGTATTTGTAGAATCTTATCTCCAAAATTAATGGACGTGGGTTTTAAATTACTTAATTCACAGTCTATTCGGTTTTTTTCTGCCTTTGAATGTTCAGTGGTTTCTTTTGTAAAATTAATTTTAATTGGGCGGCAAAACCTTGTCGAAGAAGGACGTGGATTTTGCCATATTACTGCCTTAGGATCATGGATACTTAAATTGGAATTTGTTAGCATCCGTAAAGGTACCAATGAAGATATAAAAACGCTCGAATCATCAAGGTTTGGGTCACTAAATCTCTGTTTATAAGAACTATGACCTGAACTGCCATCGAAACCCAATTTTGATATTAGATGCATGTCTTTTAATAGTTCCTTTGGTAAAGTCGAAATCACATCTTTTTAACTTCAATTACTCGTTCTGCGGTGTGATCAAGCAGGTCTTGCATACTAACTTCAGCAGAAGTCGCAGTTATTTTTCTATTATCTACGTTTGGGTAACATCCTTTTTTATTTGCAAAACTTTATAAGATGGAAATCTTTCTTTATCCTGAGCCCTGATAAGGTTGTACTGGTGCTGTGTTAATTTTGCTTCCACATATAAAGCAAGTGCTTCTTCTCCTGACATAAGTTTTGTTTTATTGCAAATGTTCATTGCCTTTCTGAATTTTTTTGCGCGTGTGGTGTTGTTTATCTATTTCTTTTATTAATTTTGCGGCTTCGGTTTGTCCAGAGGATCTCAAGCTCATTTGAGTTGCATAAGTAAGTTCGTGAAGCGGTGTTCGTTTTCTAATTTCTTGAGTCTTTTTTCTCTTAGATCGTTCAGAACTTTCAAGAAAAGGCAACTCTGGGCGACCGCGACCGCGCGCCGATTCTTTCCTTTTTGTAGGTTGCTCATGCTCATACATTTGAAAGGCTATAGATGTCTTTAGCCACTCATCATTATTTGCTGTGAATCTGTCAAATGTTCTGTGCGATTTTCCCATCTAGTTTTAAATTGGGCCATAAAATGTGAAACAATATGGCGGAGTTCGTTTAGATTTTGCGTAGGACAATTTGTACGCTTTTCCAAGTATTCTCTTAAATAGGTACCCCGATCTTCCAGTCTTTTATAACCTGACTGTTTCATTACATCAACGAGAAATCCTCTAGTTAAAGACAGTTCATTAGAACCCGATCCTAAAACAAAGAAGTCACACTTGTCAAATTTTTGTTACATACTGGATAGGATGTGTATATTTTGAAACAACAATATACCATATGCATATTATATGGTTGTAATCAGAAAAGTATGTAGAATTCAAAAATCCTGTAATATACAGCGCGTTCCACTGTTAAAAACGATAAATCTGGTATGACAAACTTTTTGGGCACCCCATAAAATAAAACTAAACGGCGAAAACATTCATGAATACCCCTTCAAAATGTTTTTTGAATCATGGTTTTATCTCAAAACAAACAAGTTAAGGAAGAATTCAAAATAAACGCGAACACCCTGTACCACTTCAAAGCTTTTTAAAATTTAATTTACCCTGAAAGGGCAAAAATGGGCAACATTTTTTAAATCCCACCAAATGTCAACTTATCAAGGAATATTTTGTGTAAAATTTTACGTGGAAGCTTTTGGAAATGTACTATTTGCTTACGAGAACGCGAACAATTGCAAAAATTAATGAATTACTTTTCAAATATTTTTTCAATCGGTATTGGGGATAAGCAAAACAGTAATAAATATGGCAATATAGAGAACTTACCTGAAGGTATAGAGTCCATGATAACAAATAAAATCACAATAATAGTTTTACAAAAATACACAATATCAAAATCACTACTGAAATGTAGCAATACGTAACTGAACGAAGTACAACAG